TGGAACCTGGGGAGGATCAGTTTCACAGAATAGCCACAGCAAGCCGACAAGGTGTATTCGCGGCTCCTCTGCCTCCGCAACAACAAAGCCCCCCTCTATTCGGTTTTCTGCGGATTGGAATACACTCCGTTCTAGAGATGCTTCTCCCGTAGCTGCCGTAGCTCGGGGGCCATAAACTAGACGAGTATACTCCCATTAGGGTAGATGAACCATAAACCCTCTTAGTAGGGTTAATTTGGTCCTTAAGGGAACCAATGTAATCCACATTAGGGTATATGAACCATAAATAGTAGGGTCCTTGAGGCACTTCCACCGTTGCATCCCCGTTTTGAGCAGAAGCCCGGGAGCCTCAGTGGCCAGTCCATGTCACCTTGAGGCGACTTAGGTGTTGCTGATTCCAGCAGGTTCTCTGGGGTAAGGGTGTAGGGCTTCGGGTTTAGGGTTTAGGGTTTAGGGTTTAGGGTTTAGGGTTTAGGGTTTAGGGTTTAGGGTTTAGGGTTTAGGGTTTAGGGTTTAGGGTTTAGGGTTTAGGGTTTAGGGTTTAGGGTTTAGGGTTTAGGGTTTAGGGGGGGGGGGGGTTCTACAGGGGGCTTATTGGGGGGTTCTAGGGGGTTTCGAGCGGTTTGTAGGGGTTTCAAAGGCTTTGTCGGAGGTTCTTGGAGGCGCTCTTGCTTCTATAGCTGGCAGCCCCACACATGACTCCTTCGAGCGCAGGGCCGAGTTCTTCTTAAACCCTGAACCCTAAACCCTGAACCCTAAACACTATACCCTAAACCCTAAACCCTATATACCCCAAACCCTAAACCCTAAACCCTAAACCCCAAGCCCTCAATCCCTCCGGGTGGTCAGCGGTTTCAGAGGCTTAGGGTCCATTTAGGGTCCCGGGTTTGGATCTGGGAGCTTTCAAGACGTCGCTACTGGCCGGTAGGGTTTAGGGTTTAGGGTTTAGGGTTTAGGGTTTAGGGTTTAGGGTTTAGGGTTTAGGGTTTAGGGTTTAGGGTTTAGGGTTTAGGGTTTAGGGTTTAGGGTTTAGGGTTTGGGGTTTAGGGGTTTAGGGGTTTAGGGTTTAGGGGTTTAGGGTTTAGGGTTTAGGGTTTTGGGTTTTGGGTGTGGAGGTTCAAGAATTTAGGGAGCATGTCCTCACATCACATTGAGAAGCCCGGCCATCATTTCAGGGAAGAGTCACTAGACCTGAGGATCCCCATCACAACTTTAGGGATCCTCTTCAGTTAAGGGGTGCTCGAGCCCCTCCACACTGGGCTAAACCCGGCCTAAACCCTTAACCCTTAAACCTTGAACCTTAAACCTTCAACCTTAAACCCCAAACCCTAAACCATGAACCCTAAACCGAACCCTCAAACCTTAAACCCCCCCAAACCCTAAACCTTCAACCCTAAACCGCAAACGAGGGGGGGGGGGGGGGAGGAAGGAATCACCACCAAGGCACCGGAGCACCTAAAACCAGCGACCATGTCTTTGATCTCACCATTGGCTTCCTCTGCCTTGGGGGAGCTTTCTTTCGGGAACTCGGGGTGGGTTTAGGGTTTGGGGTCTAGGGCTTAGGCTTAGGGCTTAGGGCTTAGGGCTTAGGGCTTAGGGCTTAGGGCTTAGGGCTTAGGGCTTAGGGCTTAGGGCTTAGGGCTTAGGGCTTAGGGCCTAGGGCCTAGGGCTTAGGGTGTAGGACTGGGGGTTTAGGGTTTGGCCTTGAGGGTTGAGGGTTTTCGGGGTTGAGGTTAAGGGCTAAGGGCCAGCAAGCTCCGCAAGCATGGCATCTTGAACCACAATCCTTCAACCAAAGGCCAAACCTCTCGTCTCTTTCAGCGCCTCAGCTCCCACCCCTCCAAAACTTTGGATTCCCTCAAAGGACCTAAATTCTAGGGAATCCTTCTGCAAAGCCTAAACCCTTGAACCTTACGCAGATAAGCCGATGTAAACCCTTTCTCAAACCCTAGAGTGCCCCCCATATGAACCCTAAACCCAAAGCGACCGTCATCCCTAAAAAGCCCGAACATAAGCCCTTAAACCCTAAACCCCCTCAACCCTCAACCTGAAACCTGAAACCCCTAAAACCCTGAACCCCTAAACCCGAAGCCCCAAAACCCAAAACCCTAAACCCTAAACCCTGAACCCTAAACCCTAAACCCCGAAGCACCTTGGCGCTGAAGCTGCAGCAGGCTCCCTGGGAGTGCTTGAGAAAAATTGCTGGTGCTGGGAATTACAGAACGAGGGTTTAGGGCTTAGGGCTTTTGGGTTTAGGGCTCAGGGTTCAGGGTTTAGGGTTTCGCGTTTAGGGTTTAGGGTTTGGGGCTGTTAATCCCTGCTTGGTTTGAAGGGTTACGTAGGGGAAAGGTGCCACACTCCATGCTGTGGGGATTGGGCCTTTGGCTTGGGGTTCGCGTGGGAAGTTCTGGTGGACTCTAAGCCCTACAACTACCCCAAACCCCCAAAGCCCTCAGAAATTTTGGGGCTTCAAGGTTTCGGGTTTAGGGTTCAGGGAGTTTGGCCACCCTAAACCGCGGACAGAAAGTGCAGGCTGACAAGTTGAGGCTGAGAGATTCGGGCAGAAACGTGTTGCTGGACCATTTACCTCTCATCAGGCCCCGTTTAGGGTTCAAGCTTCTCATAGGGTGTTCTGGCTTCAGCCAGACACAAGAGCAACCTAGGAATGAGAAGGGTGCCCTTTTTGTCTAAAGGGTCTCAGAAGGGAACCTGAACCTTAAAAAAAAAAGGGGGGAAGAAGGGCCTACTCTGGTGAAGAAAGCAAGCTTGCTGTGCAAGGTGCTACGGACCACGCTGCAGTCAGGCCATTCAGAGGCGCCATGGTGCCCGAGCTCGGCTCAGAGCCTAAAGAAGGCTGCGCTGGTGGCCCTGGGTGGTTCTTTGCGCATCTGCTGCGAGGGCTGTGAAGATGAGTTTAGGGTTTAGGGTTTAGAGTTTTGTAGGGTGTAGGGTTCAGGGTTCAGGGTTTAGGGTTCAGGGTTCAGGGTTTATTTAGGGTTTAGGGTTTAGGGTTTAGGGTTTAGGGTTTAGGGTTTAGGGTTTAGGGTTTAGGGTTTAGGGTTTAGGGTTTAGGGTTTAGGGTTTAGGGTTTAGGGTTTAGGGTTTAGGGTTTAGAATCCCCTATAGGGATTCTACGGGTCAACATGAGGTACCTAACCGTCTAGAATCCCGTCAAGATCCTTCAGGGCTTATATAGGGTTAGTGTAAGGTGCCGAACTCAGCTGGCGGGATCTGCTGTGGGGATTTGGGCTTGGGCTTGGGCTTCTTTGGGTTCGGCTGGGGTGTTCAGGTGGACTGTAAGCTCTGCAATACCCTATCATCTGGGTTTAGAGTATATAGAGTTTAGGGTTAAGGGCTTGGGGTACTCGGGTTGAGGGTTACGGGCTGCAGGGGCCTTTTGGATTTATGGATTTAGGGTTTGGAGTTAAGGCTGTATAGGCCTATAGGGTTTCAGGATTATACTCTGAAATACAGATGCTGGTAGTGATGGCTGCCACGGAGTATCCTCCGGACCTTTCAAAAGCCCTGGATGTTGTAAGTGAACTACACCATCACGAACTCTCAAGATCAAGTGCAAAGCTCCCAAACCCGGCAAACTCTGTACAAGTCATCGTGCATTCGAAATACGACCGTTCAAGAACTTCAGCCTGCTTGATCAAAACAAACACATGCAAGGGGATTTTAGCAAAGGATTCACGTCAAGTGGCTACGCTATGAACCGACAAGCCCCCCCCCCCCCCCAAGGTGTGCCTTTTTTCTCCTTCTGCCTGGGCTTCCTCCATCTGAGCCGGCGGCCCCTGTGAGTCTGAGTTGAATCGAGCCTTTGCTGGCCGAGCAAGGGCTCTCCTCTTTTTTCTTCGGTGCCCGCAGGGGCCTCCGGTCTCTTGTGGGAAGAGCTCCGTTCGGAGTGCCTACATGAGGACTGCTCCACCTCCGCAAACCACAGTGCCTCTTAGGCAGCCCTCTCTCCCAACATGTCAGCAGTCTACTCAGCTGAGCCGTCGCAGGAGTGGGGTTTTGGGCGCAAGGAGGGATCCCTCCTTTCCTCAGCCTCTGTTCTTATAGCTTCTTCTCCCCCAGTGCACATGCCCTGAGAGGCGCTCAGCGCACTGCAGTGGGGTCAAACCCGAAAAGCCACCCTAAACAGCCCATGAGCTGGCTTAAGCAGCCTTCGACGCTTTGAGTCCTGGGTTCTTGGACTGAGGCTACGAAGGCGGCTTCACGAAGAGGGGGCCTTTGGGATCTGCGAGGGGGGTGCAGGCGCTTGTGGGCGGAGCCGGCAGTCATCACCACAATCTGCCAACCCGAATGGCCTACCAAATGGGGAGCCATCGTGACTCTGAATGTGAGGCCGGGGCTCGAGCGCTGCTCCCTAAACCCCGGAGCCCCGCAGCCTAACTGGCGTTCTGCGAAGCCTTCGAGACCTTCGAGGCTGAGCAGGGGCAGCAAGTGATTGATATGCCCGCTCCCCCAAGAACGCCAAGGCGGTACCTGCAGAACCTCGCGAATCTTGCGGTTGATTCCGCATCTCGGTCCTGTGGCTACTTTAAAATATTTGTGCACGGCAGGGAGTACACACCCACGACTAACCGCTGCCAGATCCCAGATCGGCAGTTGGAGGAAAACACGTGCTTCGTTTATGAGCGCAGCCACCATGCTACAGTGAGCCGGGCAGCCTTGACGTGTGCAAGGTGCGTAAGCTTCAGGATATCCTGAGAAGCTTCCTGTTCCAAATCGAGCTTGGGATGCCGTCATGTTGCATGCCGCCCCATATGGGATGTTTCCATGCAGCCCCAAGAGTGCCGCAGGGCAAAGGGTTTCGGAGTTCATTGGACCAGAACGGGTTTGTGAGCCTGGGCTGCCTTTGTGCAGCCTATGCCCCGCGGCTTCCTGGATATTCGGCGCAATTCAGTCCCTTGTGAGTGGACGTGCTGCCCACTGCTTGCACAACGAATTCGAAGACGTCATTCCAAGGTCGGGTGAGTTCCAAGCGCAGGAAGATGCGAAAAATAGGCCTGCACGCGCGAGTGGCAGCGTTGCAGCAAGTCCAGGAGACTCCTCCTGAGGCCACTGAGGCCACCTACATCTGCATCTGGAACAGCTGGCATCTCTTCATCTGTGTCGTCTGCACTGCACGCGCGCACCGGGTGCTGGCGACCTTTCGCGAGCATGTGACCGACTGTGAGGCCTTCACGGAAACTTTTCTCCCTGCTGGAGGCCGAAAACCGACTCTGCAGATGTGGCACAGGCAAACAACGCCAAGCTCCTGCTGGGATGGCCCGGTCTGCATCGGCAAGAAGGCCCAAATCCTCGGGGCTTCAGCTGGAAGCCGCCACGGCTCTGGCCGCATCACACAGAACTTTGGGCTCCTTTCCTTGCAGAGGCTGCGGATTTGGACCGGCCGCTGCAAGGATCGCCATGTGATGTCACGCGCCGCCATTCTTGCGAGAGCTGGGCCAGCTCCTGTAGATCTGGGGTTGCGGAATACAGTCTTTTTAAGTTTTAGGGCCGTTGTAGTTGCATGGTGTGGACTCTAGGGCCTGTCAGCCTCGTTTTACGGGCTCGGACTGTGCGATGGGGGCCTTGGCAAGCTTTGGGCTCAATTGAGTTGTGCGTATAATGCTTCGCACATGAGGTCGGCTGACGTGGAGCGGCCCCTTGCGGTCGCGCGCGCACAGAAAGTGTTGAAAGCCGGCTGTGGAGACGACCCTTGAACCCAAAACCCTCACACCTCGTCTAGACGGGACACAGACTTTGGATGCAAGAAAGCTTCAGTTGCGTCTTACTGTGCCTTTGCCAACCCCCATGCAGGGTCATCTGCCGGGGTTTAGGCGGTGCAGGGCCTATAAGGGTGTTGGGATGTGCCAAGGCTTGGACGCCCGCCCACATCTGTGCGTTGCGCAAGTGACACCTCTCCACTGGTGCGAAGCTATTCAAAGCAGGTGGCACATGCCTTTGAAGCCGTTACGATCATGCCGGCTCTGTTTTTTGCACCTTTGCCCTGGGCGGCAGTCAAGCAGACCTTGGTTGTCAATTCACACATGGCACTCCACAAACTTGGGCAAAGCAACCTCTAAAATGACCGATGATGTCACACAGGCGCTTGGGGCCCATCAAAGGAATGAAGTTGCCGGCTGGGATGGTACAACCTCAAGTGCAGCGGATGTCGCGTCGAACTGCCACGTGCTCCCTAGTCGATCATCTTTGTGAGGAACCCGAGATCGGCGTCGCGTGCTGTGAAGCAACAGCCGTTACTGCACCTGCGCCAATGGAAGGTGAAATCCGTAATCGGGAATCGGGGTGCTCAAGCTTAGCTGGATCTGCAAGCCACTTGGGCACGGATCTGCCGATCCTCTGAATGGGTGGAACAGGTGCCTATAGGCCTATGCGGGTGAATAACTGCACGAGGAGTCGGGGGCTGAAGGGCTCTGGAGCTTTTGGCCTCTCTATGTGCAGAGGGCACCTATGCAGCAGACCGCCGCGTGCTCCGCGTGCTCCGCGTGCTCCGCGCGCTCCGTGTGCTCCGCGTTCCGCCGCGGTGCGCACCTTACGAGGCCTCACTTCCGCAAGGCCCTTGGCCGCCTTAGCCCTTTACCCTCGGGCTGCCTTCATAAGCCTTCATAAGCCTCGCGCTGAGCTGTGCCTCGCTTGACTCAAAGGCCGCCACAGACCCGGCACCGGCAGAAGCCGCTTTCAGCGGCGCCTGTTAAGCTCTGCTGTGGGCTCCTGTCCCAGGAGAGCGGACCAGGAGGTTTGCGAATCTGAAACTTCGAGGGTTGAGAGTCGCGCGTTTCAGGCATGGAAGCCCCTGCAGGGCCGCGCGAGGGGGGAACGCATCATCAGGTTCATCAGATTCATCACCAATTATATTAGTGTTTTCAGAGCAGCTGGCATCCGACTGCCAGCTTGTCCCACTGCTGACATCCGTGCCCCAAAGCATTTGGGGATGCATCAGCTTGGAAACTGCGCAGTGCTTTCCGAGCAGCTGGCATCCGTCTGCCAGCTTGTCCCACTGTTGACATCCGTGCCCCAAAACATTTGGGGATGCTTCAGCTCGGAAACTGCATGAGGCGCAGGGCCGCAAAGCTAGCCTGATGTGGGGGTGGTTCTAAATTCTGGTCCCTCACGACATCGTCCACCTTATTTCGGGCACCGGAAGAAGTAAACCATCATTCAGGCCAGCCCTTTCGTACTGCGCGTTGATGGGAAGCGAACCCAGTTTCCAGGATGGAAGGGAGGGGCCGCAGACCTGACTGCGTTCCGTTACAGCCCGGCTGCCAGCCTCAGAGGACTAGACGCACGGAGCCAGTAGTGCGAGAGCAGAGCCAGCAGAGCAATGCGAAGCAGGTAGCTCGGCGAAGTGTGTTGGGGTCTTGGGATTTACTTCGAAGGGGATCCTAGGATGGAAGTGCTGGTGAGGAGGCTGACATTGTTGTGTATTTGGGCGCTCGGGAACGCAGCCGACGTCACAGACAAGCATCCGAAAGACCAGCATCCCAGCGAAGTGCGGGTGGAGATGACGACCCAGGGGGGACCGACGACCCCGAGGGGACCGGAAACAGGGCAAACTTGAACTCCAAGAAGCTCAGAATCCCGAAGGTCCGTACAACCTTAAAGCCCCTCGATGCCCTATAGAGCCTCCAAGTCCCTGACACTGTGACTGGATGCCAAGAGTTCAGGAGGCTGTGCGAGGATCTTCGAGCGCACCTCAGTGCAGGTGGCTTCCACAGAATTACAGCGTCACCGGGTCTGGGTCAGGCAGCTTTTGAGGCTTTACCGGGCTCGCCTTGCAGCAGCTGATGTCCCCAACCTCGATCACGCCACGAGATCTGGGAAAATGAAGAGGGTTGTGAAAAAGATCCTGGGAATCACTCCCGAGGGATCTATTCCTTAATCCCCTCCTCTCCAGCAGGTCGTGGAGCGTGTGCAGGTTGGTGCTTTCGCAATCGAAAGAGGAGGTCCAGGCTGTTGCAAGCCTGTTGCCAGTGAGCGTTTGGGGTTTAGGCGGTATAAGGTTCGGCCTTGGCAGCTACACGTGGGTGAAGGCCCGGTTGGGCTACACATGCCGGAGGCATGGGACGTCTGCTGCAACTGGATACGAGGTCCAGGCTGTTGAAAGCCTATTGCCAGTGAGGGTTTGGGGTTTAGGCGGTATAGGATTCGGCCTTGGCAGCTACATGTGGGTGAAGCCCCCGTTGGGCCACACGTGCCGGAGGCATGGGACGTCTGCTGCAACTGGATACTATCTTTTAGACATGTCTAAAAAACAGCTCCAACAGCTCCAACCCCTTCAGGGTCGTTCTCGCCCTCCGAACTACCCAAAACCGGAGGAATCTAAACCCTGAACATCGTGAACAGCGGAAGCCCGCGAGAGACACTGCCGTTCTCGAGCCTCATCGCGCTTACGGCGAGGTGCTGTCATGGCATGTCACTTGCAGTGTTGCACAGGGGGCCTGCAGCAAGGAGAGTGCACATGAAGCTCAAGGGAGCCTAGTCTCAACAGAGCATTGCAGAGTGCAGGCACTTAACTTGTGCATGACCAATAAAGGCAATGTCTGCACAGCTGCATGGAAGAGTCACAGGCGGCTTCCGGGATGGCGAAAGAGCCGTCTTAGGCTTGCGGAGATGATTCCCTGGGCACGCTAAAGGAAGGATACTCTTACCAGGCGTACAGAACACGCTCCTGCTTGAGACGTGCCTGCTTAGGATGCCGTTTGCTTCAGCACTGTGTACCTTGTTGGTGGCCTCATACTGCAACTCACGGGAAGAAAATGCGCGACATAGCACCGACGCGGTGGGCAGTGGGCATGGAGGAAGTGGTCATCTTGCTCACTGAGCTCACTGCTGCTGCCTGCTACTGCAAGCTGCCTACCGCTCAAAAACTGCGATGAGCCACACATCGACGGTTTGCTCGCCCAGTCTAGCTGAAGGAAGCAAGACAAGCCTCCGGGCTTTGGCTTCCAGGGCCGGGAACGGGACATGTCTTGGACTGCGAAAGCACGTGCGCCAGGAATTCGCAGCCTTGAGCGACCATCATGCAATGCAGTCCCATTCCACAGCGGGCCACTTGGGCTGAAGGTGTCAAGGGCCCTGAAATGGAGTCCTGACGGTTCATGTGGCCAAGGCGTGTCTGACGAAAGGCGTGTCCAGGCAAGCGAGGTGCTGGAAGGAGCAGCTGGGCGTGGAAGGCTTTGATACGGCGCCCCAGACGAGACCGAAAACAGGGATCCTGAACGCACCAGCCTTTGCCAAAGCCGGGGCACCCGGGTGGATCACACGCATCGCCAGGCTTTTGAGCCGGTGTATCACGGGGGGCCTCCGCGATCCTTGGAGCTGAGTCAGCTGAGCCTCCGGCCCGATGTGAAACACGTCGCCACCATCAAGTCATGAGCACGGCTACAGCTTGGTGGGGCAGAGAGGCTGGGGTGTCATATGTCATCGACTTGGGCTTGGAGGGCCGATCAGGACGTGCACAGCACCACAGCGGGGGTTCACAAGAAGGCTGCTGGCCAGTGCGAAGGCTTTGGGCTTTGCAAGGGTCACAGGAAGATCCGAGGGAAGCGCATGGAGGCGACACAGCGGGACGCAGGACGCACCGCCAGCTTCACATCTTGACTTCACTGGCAGTTGGAAAGCCCCATGCCACGAGCGGGCTGCAAGGACTGCAAGGCGGCTGCAGCCGAGGTGCGCGTGCTTTGCCAGCGGGGGGTTCCTTTCATGCAGCACCTCCGAAGCATGCGGTCTCCTATGCCCTGAACGGCCGAAAGCCCCGAGAGCCGGCGTCCGTGTCTCGCGGGCCCTTCTTGCCCGCCTGCCTGCTCTCTTCAGCCTCCTCCTAAGCATCGAGCCTGTCAAAAGACCCTGAACTCCAAAGCCCTCCAAGGAGAGCCATGCCAAGGTCGGCAATTCAGGTGTGAGGACTGTGAGGATCTCTGAAACTCTGGCGAGTCGGGGCCTGACGGAGGGCCGAAGCGTCGGGTTGCTCGGGCTGCTCGGGCTGCTCGTAACCTGAGGCCAGCAGCCACTGCGGATGGGGCAAGGGGCTTGGTGGGGGCTTTGAGGTCAAGCTTTGAGTTCGGGCGTCGCTTGGATCTTGACCGCACATGGATGGGCACTAAGCTTCTATCCTTGACATTGAAGACGGGCGCCGTCATTCGCAGAAGCACGTCGAAGACCGTTTCGGGCACTTGGGGCCCGTAGGGATGCTGGCGCAGACAGCGCCTAGGGCAATGGCCCTCGACACTTCAGCCTCGGAAGACCTCTGCTGCTCAGGCTCGTAAAAACCTGATGGAAACTAGGGGGTGCCGGAAGAAGGGACGCATCATGATAGTTGTGAGCAAGAGTCAAGCAAATGCTCCAAAGCACGCCCTGAGATTGTCGCGCGGCTACCCTGACTAGACTTCATGCCAGGAAACTTGATTGGATCTTCTGTTGTGCTCTGAAGCTGATCGAGCACTTCGCGCCAGGCTCCGTGTGCGGAGATTTCGGTGCAACTCCAGCACGCAGAACAACGGCTTGTGCGTGGCGCCATGTACGC